ATATTGTGATTCATTTTTCAAATTTGATTAGATTAATAATTTTAGAATGTTTAGGAAGTATAAGGAGGTTATATATAATTGCTTTTGTAGTATTTGTTAAAAAAAAATTTTTTTTTATCATTATATTTGGTAAAGTGATTATATTTTTAATCAAATTTATTTCTGGAAAATAATTTTGAATTTAAAGGTTCAAGCAAAGATGTATTAAAAATTTTAATAGTCTTTTTAATTTTTATTGTATTAATTTTGAGATTAAATTTATTTATATAGCTTTTATTGTTTTTTTTGTAATTGAAGTATATATTTTAAATTAATAATGAGTGCCTCCAAAGGAAAACCTTAATATTATATTTTGTTTCGGACTTGCCTCTTGAATAGCGACGTATTTATGTAATTAAAGGTACGTTAAGACAATTTTAGTCGTTTCGATGGTACATGTTGCATTAGTCATTATAATACGAAGTTGATTACGACCTGTCAAAATAGTGACATCGAAACGATTAGAAAACCTACGTTTAAATACTCGCACAAATATAAATGAAAATTACTAAATATTGTTCATCTTGTTATACAGTACATATAACAAAGCTTTCTAGTGTATTCGAAAATAATAAAAAAATATGTACTGTATATCCTATGCTTAAATCGTATAAATGAGGGGAAAATGAGAACGTGAAGAGCAAATTATTAATAATTTGGATCGGGAAAAATACAGTATAACCCGAAGAATTTGAAAGCATTGTTTCGAAAAGGAAGTTGAAGATGAAAATAATGGACAAATGAATTTTTATTATTATGTAAGTTGGTTTATTAATAACCGACGATGAGAAATTGAATTTTACAAATAAAATAGTTATTATATTTTTATTTACTTAATAAATCTTGTGAACTTCCGAATTAAAAAAATGGCTTCAAAATATAGAATCCAACTTCGCACTGTTGCAAAAAATGAAGATAATAAGAACTTGAGGGAGGCAATAAATATTACTAATGGGGTGGGTGCAATAAAAACACTTCATGAAATATGACTATTGTTATACGTACTATGATTCGAACATTAAATTTATACGTAATAAATACTCAATTAAGAAATATGATAGCTATTTCTAAGAAAAAAAATTAAAATTCTTAGTATAATGCATATCCACCGATTTGATTTTTTTTCGATAAACGGTTACACGAACTATTGTCAATAAATTACTCAATAAAAGTGTTATACTAAAGCTGTAAAAGAAAGTACTGTCGTTATTTTTTGAAACGTTCGGTAGTGAACGATCGGTTCGTCAGCAGTGATGTAAATTGTGGAGTTATACGAATAGTAGTAGAGTATAGTTTAGTAAAGTAGTGGAGTATATAATGCGTTAATTAGCAAACACGTGTATATGGTTGTGAGGGTATTACAGAAACATATTTTGTAAAATATCCTATATAATATATATAATAGCAAGTAATTAATTATTATTCATTAGACTCTACGATCTAATTCGTTTCTCAACTTTTTATTAGCTAATTCTAAAGCCTCTATTTCGGCTTCTTTTTTGCGCAACTTAATTTCCTTTTCTCGAATGGCAACAGCCCGTTCTTGGAGTTTAATTTTTTGTTGTTGAACTTCCAATTCATGCTTGCTGGTGTCACTTGATTCCAATTCAATCCTAGACTTTTTGGTTGATAGCATTTCTGTTTCCGAATCTGAAAGGATTGTAATTATATCCTGAGATTTTTTCAACAGCTTTTTTTTTGATTGTGATTTGTTAAAACTCGAAGATTTGTTTTTGTTCCTATTAATAATTTTAATATTAAATTAATAAATTAAATAGATTTTTTTTTTTTATTTAAATTAAAAAAAAAAATACTTTTACATGTTATAGCAATTGATTTTTGTTTAATTTCTCCATTGTCATGTTGTGTAATAGATATATCATACTTAGTGTATATTTGTATTCGATTAACAGTTATTTCATCTATTTTTTTTTTACTAAATTATAAAATTAATAATTAATTTATTTTAAACTCTTGATTTTTGAACTATTATTTAACTAATTATTTAGTAAATTAAAAAAATTATTTACTGATTAATTGCTGAAAGCAATTTTAGCTGTTTTCCAGATTAATTAGCATATGCATGAGAAGCTTCAGCTGTATTATATTATCTTTAGCTTTAATCCAAGTAGTAAAATTAATTTGTGAGTAATAATAATTTAAAGAAGCTATAAAATAAGGTGTATGATAGTATTCAATCTATTCTAAATAAAGAATTATTATTAATAAATTTATTTAAACACAGGGTGTCAATATACTAGGTAATACAAAAGTATTAGAAAAGCTAATCAAAATTCAAGATTAAGTGTAACATGTAAATCTTTTTTGTATAATTAAAATAAAGAATTTTTTTAAAAAATATGAATATTTGAAAATTTTGCTTATAAAACTGCTTTTGCGACTCTAAGTAAAAAAAAATTTTTTGCTTAATTCTATATATAAACTTTGTTCTAACTTAAATTCTAGATCTCATTCTAACTTTAAAGCTAATTAAATTTATTTTTTTTTTATAAAAAATTATTTATTTTTTATAAAAAATTAAAATCTGTGTTTTAAACACTAGATGTTAAATTAGATTTATTCAAAATTTAATAAAAAAATATTATTATTTAAATTTAAATATCTTGTATATTATCTTTATTTAAATTTAACAATTAGTCAAAAATTCATTCTAACTATTTTTGAAGCAGAAG